CCATTCAACCACACGTAAGCCCACTGAGGATCTTCAAACCACTGCAAAGAAAAGGAATCGGGAATGGTAATGTTACAAAACAAGTCTGGTCTTGAAAATACCATTTTCAAAGATCAGAGTAGGAAGGAAGGAAAAAAATATTAGCAACCAGCGTTACTGAGTAGACTGGAAAACCTTCATTACTATAGTATTATTCAAAGTAAGGTACATTTTGTAATCAGGTGGCGCTCTAAAGAATCTACTCAGAGTACAAGAAGTTTTTCCAATTCGGAAGGGAACCAGTAATAATGGAGTCTAATTGCCAAAATCTGCCAGGTCAAGTGTGGGAGGAAAAGAGCCATCTTCCCTTGCCCCTTTTGAGCACCTGCACTTGTCCCAATGATAGTTCCACTTTCAAAACTCCCTAAAGCAGGCCGAAAAAACAAACCTGTCTTTAAATCTCTTTGGTCTAGGAGGAAAACAATACCCGCTAGGTTTCTGCGGCCAATTAGAAAGCGTGCTATTTTGTTTGTTCGTCATATAGAACCAATAGCAGCCGAGCCCGAAGACCTCTTCAGCTTTTGGATTCTCTCACACAAGATGGCATAAGCAGATTCAAGTTAAGATTTTATAACAAAAAGCAATATGCCAGTAAAATCTCATACCTTTTCATGTTTATGATGCCATTATCACACTCAATCACTATGCTGTTTGTTGCGTTAAAAGGTGACCCTTTTTAAAGAGTGGTATCATCAAACTTACAGTCACACTTAAGGGCTATTGCCGATTCGTCTTTTGACACAGTACTTCATGAGAGAAGAGACGTACCCTGATTTTTCCCCCCAAACTTTCACCTAGTTTGAATCCTTCATCGATGGGTTTTTCCTTCAGATAAACTTTGGATCGGGAACGGCCCTTGAAATATACCATAGTTTCATCAATACAAAGTCCTGTTATGGTTTTTACCGGGGTTTTTTTAAACCGTGCTTTTGTAGATACGGAATAAATTAGATGGCTTCATCTTTTCAATGTTACGATAAAGCTCCCCTTAGTGCGCTGGTGCTGTGTTGTTTGACATATGAAACGAGAAGCGAAAACTGTCAAGATCCCCCTTTCTTTCCTTGTACATCATTATTCAGCAGACAGATGAGTGATAGCCTGGGCTTCAAGGTCAGTGATCGCAGAGAGTCAGTATCTTGAGAATACCCAATGTGAAAGAAAAATAGATAACAAAGAATCATTCCATTTCTACACGGTTACCTGGTTTTCTGGTTTTGAAACGTAAACGACTTGCCAAGGTTTGCAGATCTTTGCCATTGATCAATTTCCCATCTTATTGGGTTTTTTCAGTTTTCATAAACGTTTATCAACTCCTCTGCAGTGACCAGCCAGTTCATATCTACTGCAAACGGTTGTTTCGTTTGCGAGACTTTGATTCCACCGAATACCAGTAAACTGAGAAACGCGGGGAAAGTTGTTTGTGTTTTGAGTCCACAGTATTTTATCTTCTAATCCCTCCACTTATTCTTGTTCATTATTTTGTCTTTCTATACTCTCCCTTACAGCTTTACAGCAAATCGGTCGCCATATCATAATTTCAATAACGGTCAGACCTATCGTCCATCAACAGTGTCTTTGCATTCTCATCACATGTATACTCTATTCACTTGAATCTTTGGCAAAATTTAACAATTATGCTTTATCGTCAACCGGCATATTAACCTCATCCTTTCAACGTCATCTTCATTCATCATCATCCGGTGCCTTGCCGACTGGCGTGGGCGATCATGGACCTCCACTTTCATCTGTCTTTCGATGCAGCAATGGTGTCTGTTGTTCTTGCTGCTCCCAGCCATGTTGTCATCTTGCCCAGTATATTTTCCCTCTGACTGCCTCTGCCTCTCTTTCCATCAAACTTTCGTGTTGTTACAATATTCTCTAATGCTTCTTTCCGCATTGTGGGTCCGAAGAAATTTGCCTGTCGTTTTCTTATATTCGTGATAAGTTGTTTTCTATAATTTGCTTCAACCAGGACTTCTTCATTTGTTTTTCTAGCTGTCCATGGGATACGTAGCATGCGTCTTTTGAACCACAACTCTGTCGCTACAATTGTTCTTTCCAGCTGTTTATTGATTGTCCACGCTTCGCACCCGTATAATAGGATTGGCTCGATGTAACTTTTCAGTACTCTTTTCCTCGTTTCCAGTGACAGATTGATGTTTGTTAGTATCTGTTTCATCTTGTGGAAGGTTGCTTTTGCTTGGCAAATGCGGCTTTTAATTTCGGTGTGACATCTACCATTTGATGATATAATGGTCCCCAAATATTTAAAATGTTGTACTTGCTTGAGGATGGTATCATTGATTTTGATATTGCATGTTGGGATTGGAGTTTTTCTGATTATCACCATCGTTTCGGTTTTTTAGATGTTTAGAATTAAGCCCATGTTGTCACTCTCTTGTACGATGACATTTAATAGATTCTGCAGGTGTTCTTCATATTCTGCTATTAGGACTGTGTCATCTGCATATCTTAGATTGTTTATATTATGTCCCCCTATCGAGATACCAGGCATTTCTTCTATGTGTCTCATGATATTTTCACTATACAGGGAGAACAAGTCTGGAGAAAGTACACATCCTTGTCTGACTCCTCTTTTAATCTGTATGTATTCACTGATGTCGTTTTCTATTCTCATTGCAGCAGTTTGATCCCAGTACATGTTTTTGATAATCCTTAAGTCTTTCCCGTCGATATTAAGAACTTCGAGCATGTCGATGATCTTGTCGTGCCTGACTTTGTCGAATGCCTTGGTGTAGTCTATAAAACATAAATGAAGATCTTTCTGAACTTCTAAGGCACGTTCTATTGTTGTTCTGATGACATATATGGCATTTACAGTGCCTTTGCCTTCAATAAATCCACCATGTTCTTGGGCTATGTCTTCATTATCTGACCTTTCTATATGAAAAACGAAAAGGCAAACTTCTAGTTGCAGGCACAAGTACCTAAATCTAGGGTGGTGCACGGCGACGTCAAAGGTTGTGAAATAGCGCGCGCCAAAGGGGAGCGCTACGCACCGAAGTGGTGTGAAAAACAGCGCACCAACGTGTGGCGCCGTGAGGCGAAAAGGTAACTAGCAGATATATTGTAGTCTGAAGAAGCATAGAACCAAGTTGATAAAACACCACTGACGCTGTCCCAAGCAGACCAAGTGTAGGTAGAATCCGATTCAATAGGCCTACGCTTTGAATAAAGCAAACACACAACAATTTCCAATCGCCAATGAACCGTGTGGTTCCCGGGGCCCTGTACAAGAGACAGGGGAGCAAAGAATAGGACCACTGTATCCGTACCGCGCATGTCGTAGAAGGCGACTTAAGTCGGTTGTGCAAAGGGTTAGCAGCCCTTTCCCTTAAAACAAAACAAATAACAGCTGCAAAAACATCAACAGCAAAAACAATACGACCGCCAGTTCTGGAAGATGCTCAACTGTGGGGAAGAACAAGCCAAATGCAAATAAAAGAAGACATACAGGTGAAGAAATGGAAAGGGATTGGGCACACCCTGAGGAGTCCCTCGACATGCATCATCAGATAAGCTTTGACGTGGAATCCACAAGGAAAGCGTAAGAAAGGAAAACCAAAGATGACATGGAGGCGAGCGGTACAAGCGGAAATAGAAAAGGCGGGAACATCAAGGAAATAGCTAGAAAAGGATGCACAGGACAGGCTTCGATGGAGAAATGTTGTTGATGGCCTATGCTCCACTGGGAGTTAAAAAAAAGGACGAGAGAGAGAGAGAGAGAGAGAGAGGGGGGGGGGGGGGAGAGAGAGAGAGAGAGAGAGAGAGGGGGGGGGGGAGTGTTTGTTATTATAATAAGAATTATTGTTTCCTGTCCTTTTCTCTGTGCTTTGGTTCCCAGACTGACCCGGTGCTATGCAGTCATTATTGTACATATATGACCAGTCCCATCTATACAGTCATTATTGTACACATATGACCAGTCCCATCTATTCAGTCATTATTGTACACATTGTTTTTTGACCAGTCCCATCTCCCGAATCCCTCCTTCTGTGTCCCATCCATCACTTCTTGTTTTCCATGTACGTTATCCAATTTTTTCATATCACGTGTCCCAACTTTAATTCTGTAAGCGTACTTCGTTTTCCTTCATCTCATGGGATGGAGCGCTTAAAGTATGCCAAAATATTAAATATCATAAATCACTGTCGTCAATGTCCAAATCAGATGTTCTGTTCAAGCACATGTTTTCAACACCTTGATTTAATACTGTTTTATTCGGAATCAACGTTTGGCCTCCATGAGATTTCTTTGATGTATCCTCTTCGGAAGCGACTTTAATTTTACTTTCCCAAACTGTAAAATTCGTCCAGAACAACTACAGGAATCCATAATATTATGATGTCAATTTGGTCAGATCATTGCAGTCAAAATCAAACGTTCATATACACAATGTAACAGTCTGGCAAGATTAATATCGAAAACGCTCCCTCTCTCTCGAGAAATAGTCAAACACTACACCTCCAGTCTGTGGGAGACTCATTGGAGGAATCAAATAATGAATAAACTACGCAACATTAAGCCCAAACTGGGTAAACGAAAACCTTCGGGCCTCTCCAGAAGAGACGAAGTCATTTTTACTCGATTAGGCATCTGACACACGGTCCTGACACATAAATACTTCCTTCAAGGAGATGAAAAAAAACGTTTGGTGTCGAATGAGACACAGATTTTACCATTAGACACATTTTAACAGAATATCTAGACGTAGGAGAGCTAACCTCGTTACCGGCTGGACTGCCTTTGCGTATGTCGGGCCAGGGACCTGGGTCACAACTGGCGGGCAGACAGTCTTCCATGCCTCCCGAAATGAGCAACCATTTCGCGCCTTGTACTTTTGGATGGAGCGTTCATGGATCCAAGTCGGACACTCCTTGCTAAACCCTGCGTGCTGGTCATGGCAATTGGGGCAGTAAGGACTAGTCTTGCATTCTTTTTCAGGAAGATCGGTCTTGCCACAACGAGGCTGCGTTTCGGCATCGCGACTGACTATGGCCGAACTTCTGGCACTTGAAGCAGCGCAGAGGGTTAGGCACATAGGGTCGCACGCCAAAGACTAAGTAAGATGGCCGAACAGTGGCTGGAGAGCGACACGAGTCAAAAGTTAGAATTATCGTATTAATTTCGAGGGTGATCTTTCCCCGCCGAAGAGTAATCCCGCGGGCGTGGGTCACACCCTCACAATTTGCCACAATTTCCTCTATCCTGCAGCAGTCTTTCAGTTCATGGCTGCAGACGACGCCCTTTGAGCAGTTTAACTTCTGGTACCGCGCAGATGTACATGGAACACCGCCGAAGGTCATAGTGTTCAGGAGCCTGGTCACTTCTGACTCTGTTGCGCCATTGACAAGGAGTGCTCCCCCGGACAGCTTCTGTACATTCGTGGGAATGTGTCCAAGAACTTTCCGTTGTGCATCTCCTGTCTTGAATAGATCCAGGTCACTGGTCTTCTTCTGTACGTCTTCTGCACTGGAGATAGCCACGTACAGCTGTCGCGGAAGCTCTCTGGGAGAAGGGAGTGTAGAGGGAGCGGTAAAGGTCCTTTTACTTTTCCGTTTGCTCAGCTCGGCGGCCGAACCCACTTCCGTTGGGAGCTGGGGAAGGCTCTTTAATAAGTGAAGGTTCAATGGGAGTATTGTGGTTGGATCGACTCCGGGGATCCCCACCCGCTACCGAGCCCAACAAGGGGACACATTGCTCGGAAAACCAGAGCTGTGCCAGGGCTACCCCGGAGCTATACTCTTCACGAGAGTGTACAAGACCCTACCGTCAAGATTGATCCAGGGACGGGAGGGATTTCAGCTCTCAGCCGATTAAGTGGCATGGGCCGTGCTACCCTCCCGTCTAAGAGAAAAACCTGGGCCAAAGAGGTGTGTTGGCGAGGGACAGTCCGCAGACTGACCTCACCTCAACTACCAGGTACACGGTTTCCCTCCAGACGGGTCGCACCTCACGGTCAACGAGGCGCCCACTCTGTGGGATGGGTGACCTCTAGTTCTGCTCCACATGAGATCGGCTGTGAAAGAAGAGATAGAAGAAGAAAGAAAGAAGGAATTAGAAAAGGAAGATACACCAAAGTAGAAGTCACACATGGATCTCAGAGGCTTGGCCGTGTGCAACACTTGGTCATTGGAGGGTTACACCTCCTGCAGACGGGCCAGTGGATTTTTTATACTCCCCCAACCCACGGGGGAAGTTTCCGATATAAAAATATTGTTTCCTTTTTGAAAAAAAAAATTATTTTGTCCGGAAACGTTTAAAACATTATGATAGTTTCAAAATCATTTTTTTCTTGAGGAGAGGTTTTGACATTTGTCCGAACAAACAATTTAATAAGATTAAGAGGACACGATGCTTTCCCAATCTATTTTTATGTTCTTCTGTTATTTTTCATATTTTGACTGGTATATGGACATGTGTTATGTTTTCCTGGCCTAATTTTATTTTCAGTTTCCAAAGAAACTAAACAAACTTTTGCCTCAGCTGCATGTAACAAAACTATACACATGAAAGAAGTACTGGGTATTACAAAGTTGTATCTGGCATTGTTGGCCGTTTTGAGTTATTAAGACCATGAAGTCAGAAACCGAATATTTTATCGGTTCTACCAAAATCGTAAGGTTATTCGGAGACATAATCAAGATACTTATAAAATTGCTTTTGAAAAAAACAAAAACCTTGACATTTTTGTGAAAACCGAAATTTTGTAACGTCTGATTTCTCAAAACTGGGCAGATCTTCTACAGCTAGAACTGTGTAACTCCACTGTAGCGAGCTGTTTTGATTGAATTCTAAAAAGTTCAAGATTTCAAGAGAATCTTCAACACGCACATAGTATGCATATTGTGTGTATTTTTGTATGTGTATGCGTGCGTGTGTGAATGTATGTGTGTGCGTGTGTGTGTGTGTGTGTGTATGTGTGTGTGTGTGTGTGTGTCAGCGTCTGTGTGCGTGTGCATGTTCATGTATACACGAATATAGGCATGAGTGTCTACTGTGTGTGTATGTGAGTATGTCTGTTTATGTGAGTAGGCGCGTGTGTGCCTGAATGCGCACATGTGTGTGTGTGTGTGTGCTTGTTTGTTTATATGTGTATATACGTTTGTGTGTGTGTGTGTGTGCGTTTGTATGTGTGTGTGAGTGTGTCTGTGTATGTGAGCGAGTATTATTTATACCTTTTATTATTCTTTTCAACAGGACATCAGGCATGATCACTACTTTCGTGACAATAGAGCGTTGTCTGTGTATAAAAACACCCCTGCATGTACGCAGAATATTGACCCAGAAAAGGACAGCTATTTGCCTTGCTGCTATATTCTTTCTTTTGCTACTGTCCTTACTCCCAGTTCTTATCTACACCGACCTCGCTCCTATCTTCGATCCCCGGAGGAACAAGACTCTGATCGGAATAGTTCTCAACGACTACGAAGATGCCTTGAAACCTGCCTTTTTGGTCTCAACTGTCATTGTGACAGCAGGTTCTTTCATCTGTGTCTGCGTGTTCTCAGTCGTTCTGATTCATGCACTTATTCAGCGTCGCCGGAAGTGGAGGTGTTCCAAAAATAGGGCCACGTCACAAATGGGCGCCGCTGCATCAACAGGAAAGACACAGACACAGAACAAGGAGATTCAAGTAGCCAAAATGATATTGCTCGTCGCTGCGGTGTTCCTCACTATCTTCGTGCCAATTAGCGCAGTGTTTCTGACCATGGAATTAGTAGAGGAGTTTTACATGGCGGGTGTTTATAATAATTTATACCTTATCTGTATGTCTATTATCCTGGTCTTACAAGGAGTCAACAGCTCTGTAAATATTGTGCTGTACATCAATATGAGTTCAAATTTCAGGCGTACCTTTAGGGCTTTGTTTCCTTTCCTCATGCAAACGGAGGCCAGCCTTGATTAAAGTCTAACTTGTTCAGACCATATTTTGTTTTGGGGGCGTGCCTTCAGATAACAGGTTTTGTTACTCATCTGCTTCTGTGTTGGATACTTTTGAGAACATAGACCTAGACGTTAAAGAGTCGGGGGGGGGGGGGGGGGGGGGGGTAGGGGGTTAAAGAACGCGAGATTTTGTATAGAAAAAAGTTTACATGAACTAGTTTACATTAATCAAAGTGTATCATTACCCAAAGTCAAAGCTATTGATCTACAGTAAAAGAAACGATTACTTCTATTTAGGTGAACCTTACATTCGTCATTTGAAAAAGCTTAGAAAACCATTAAAATTGTAACACGGAATCGGAGCATTAAAAATGGAACGACTACTTGTATTAACAGGAATCTTATATTTGTCATTTTAAAAATGCTAAGAAAATCACGTGTTATATCCAAAACTCAAAGCATAATAAAAGAAACTGTCACTTTAACCATGAACCTTAAGGCTTACGTTCGTCCTTTTAAAACTGTATAGAAAAGCAGCACGATAGAAGGCATAAACAGTACTGCACCGCCTTCCACTCTTGGCCTACCACCTTTGAATGTACTCTACTGCCCTGTTTTTGCACCTTTTTGAGATTGTCCAGTCCACTGAAGACAGCAATCTTCTGTACTATATCTATGCTCCTGACACATAGGCTTTGTTTGTTTGTCTGTTTATTTGTCTGTTTGTTTGATTGTTTGAACGGTGGTATGCGCTGTGCAAATACTATTTATTTATTATTACATGGACACAAGAACGGTCATTTAATGCAGGAAACATGTAAGATAGAGAGTAGGAAACAACAAAGAAAGCGAAAAAAGGTAGGACCTACCAGTGGCGCCCTCCAAACACCCGCTCTGACACAGGCTCACGTAGAGTTTACGGTGGCGATCAAACATAATACCAGGTGCCTACAGGCAGGATCAAATCGGATCGGGTAGAGTAGATAAATGGTGGCTTCAATACATACTACGAATAGACCCCTCCCTTGTTCAAACTTGTGTCAAATTTGACAAAGAAGTTAAAGAGTAGAAAACATTGACCGTGGGTGGTAGGAGGGTGCTCTGGTGTGGTTTTTTCCTTTCCTGACCAACTTCTATCGTCCTTAAGCAGGCACAAACTAGGTATAATTATGGTAGTGATCATTGTTGTTATGTCCCTTGGATGTGCACATTTGGTTCACAAACATGCTTCTGACAAGAAACGTTCTATTGCTTCTCTGTCTGTACACTTATGGATGTCTATGTATGTGTATGTGCTGCTGCTGCTGCTACTGCTGCTGCTGCTGCTACTACTACTACTATAGATGACAGGAGAGACGAACATGCTGAGCATTTGTCTTTTCCTAGTTGTTTTTAACATTGAGCGTCCCACGTGGGCTTCATCAAGCACTACCTCATTTGATTTCTTTTCCTTCAACGATACTCTTAGCAGTCTCCTAAGAAACCGCATTTCTGTTGCTTCTACATGTGTATTTTATTTTCTCTGCTTTTAGTGATTGTCCAGCATTCACAGCCATATAGAAGGGTTGACCAAACATAACATCTCAGAACTTTCATTTTGGTGTTCATTGAGATTTTTTTTTCCAGGATTGGGCTCATTTTATTAAAACTAGCCTTCACCATTGTAATTCTCCGTCTTATTTCTGTGGAACGTTTGGCATCAGATGTTATCATATATTATACAGAATAATCTACATTTGCTTTGACTTGCATAAAAAAAAGGAAGAAATATTGAACAACACAAACTGAATTGACATTTTAGAGAGACTTTAGGGCCTGTGACTAACTGGGCCTGTTACAAACTATAAAAAAAAGTTTAAAAAGACAACAACAACAACAACAACAACAGAAGAACCAATTACCTCCTGTTCCTTTCTATGAGGATCCCGTTCAGTGTGGTAAAGCAAGAGTTTTTTTTTTACTTTTTTTTTTTAAAAGTATTTCTTTAGGCGGAAGGGGGGGGGTGGTCTGGTGACTCTTACTGGGCGGGGTGAAAGATAAAAGAGTTGGCGTGGGCGTTGTTAAAATCTCAATCAAGAAGCCAGGAATAATAATAAGATACCAATACACTTTACGGTATCCCAATTTTTCTCAGTATAGATTCGCTCGAGTGGCGTCGGTAGCCTAGTGGTTAGGCTACAAGACTCGTAATCGTGAGATTGCGGGTTCGGGGGTTCGAGGGTTCGAGCCTCAGCTCGGTCCGATGTTGCATCCTTGGGAAAGGCACTTTACACGAACTTCTCACTTGGCTCGGTCCTATCGGAGACGGACGTTAAATTAGGAGGTCCCGTCCCTTAAATAACCTAATAGTGTTGATAGGGGCGTTAAACCCATACCATTTCACCATTTTATTTTCACCGGATTTGCACGTTTGAATAAAAAAAACAACAACCAAACCAAACAGCTCTCCAGTAGGAAGGTCTGAGGCTATACTTGCTCACCAGAACGAGTTTCCTTTACATAAAGCCCTGCGGGAAAACAAGTCAACAGGAAATTTGGTTTAAACTGGGGGTTTATCATAGACAATAGTTTTTTAAAAAGACCCCAAAAAGACGGAAAAGTAAGTGCATGCTTATAGTTTTCTTTATTTTCTTTCTCTGCTTATTTTGGTGTCGGTTTTGGTTTTGGTATTTTGGGTTGGATTTTTATTTTATTTTTTAAGGGGGGTGGGGGTTCTGGGGAATGGTTGGGCACACATTTTTAAAAAGTCTAATACTAGATCGAGTGTATTGACCATAAAAGTCATTTCTCTTCAACGAAATAAATAAGTAAGAACATTGGAGAACATTTTTAAAAAAAAGAATTGCGAAGTTCTATCTGCAAGAGAAGAATTGAGTCACGACACGTTTGGATCAGGCGCTCATCAATGTTGGGTCAGGTTAAGTTATTGTATCATCTTCGAGTTCTTTTTTTTTTCTTGTTTTTTAGTGTGGCGTCGGTGGCTTAGTGGTTAGGCTCTCAGACACGCAACCGTAAGGTCGTGGGTTCGAATCCCGTCAGGGGTCCGACGTTGTGTCCTTGGGAAAGGCACTTTGCTCAAATTTTCCTCACTTCACCCAGATGGAAATGGGTACCCAGCTATAGACAGTGAACGATCTTGTCAGTTTGATAGTGTTTGAGCGCGTGAAATCCGCAGCTTGCATTGTATGTTTCCGCGGAAGCTGAGAATGTTTCTGAGTGTTCTCAGAGGGTCTGCTGAGGTAATAATATTTGTAAAGAGCATAGAGCATGCCCTTGAGCAAGGGTATGCGCTATATAAATGCAATTATTATTATTACATTTACGGTGGAAAAAATACTAATCTATCTTAAATAGAAGTCAAGATATTTGTGAATGAAGAAGGTGGGGGTTACTTGCTGTCAAAGATGAAACTAGCGAGAGAATGGCTGCCAAAGCTCAGTGGCTTCCAAAGCACCACACCACCTATACAAAAAGAACATGCCTCAAGTCTGTAGGTGGCTGGCTGGCGTGAGTTCTGGTGTGGTTTTCTTCTTCTTTCCGATCAAACATCTATCGTCCTTATCTCCTCTTCTTCTTTTTTACGTTTGTTACTCTCTTGTAAAACCTTTAATCTTCTGGCACTCATATGACCTTATGCAGTTGCGAGCGCCGTAAAACCTCTACTAAGACTGGAAGAAAAGTCTGTAGAGATGGCTAAGAGATTGCCAGACAACCATCCTAGAAAGAAAGCCCTTGGTCAAGCAGTCAAGCCTAAAAACAGCAGGAAAAGTTGGTTTCAGATGGGCACCGATCTAGCAGACCACTTTCCCCCTGAGGCAGAGAATCGATGGACAATCAATCTAGTGAGAGCTTGTCCATGGGAGACCCATGGTGAAATCGAAATCTGAATAGAATTGAAAGGAGTGAAGAGCAAAGGTGATGAGCCTGTAAAGGCACACGAAGCTGCAGAGGATGTGATCAAGGAGGTTGGTGCCGATGTAACAATTTTCACTGATGAATCGGCTGTCGCAGGATACCGCGAAGGTGGAGCAGCAGCAGTTGTGGTAATGAATGATGAACCACCACGAACAGAAATTATTAAAACTAAAGGTTCATTCTTCACATCATCTTATGACGAGGAATGCCAGGCAATAATGTCTACTGCACAATGGATTGTTGACAATTGCCACAGCAGAACCAATATGCGGATCTTGACTGACAGCCAGTCCTTCTGCAAGGGACTGCTAGGCAACAGCTCAGACATAACTGATTTTGCGCCGCAAGTTCAGTGAAACCACAGCTACAATAAAGATCCAGTGGATTCCAAGGCAATTTGGAATCGAAGGAAATGAGGCAGCAGACCAAGCTGCTAATGAAGCCAGAGAGATTGAAGGAGACAGCCGACCAATAACATACAGGGGAGTCTTTTCAATGATTAAGAGGGAAATCAGAGAGCCACCATGCAGAGCTAAGTACCAGCACCTGGAGGATATATATATA